ACAAAGTCTACAAGGTTGGGGTTTTTGTTTTTGTTGTTTTTTTTTTCCAATTGACGTTTTGACTCTGAGGGCAGTGAGGCAGGATTTGATCCACTGCAGAAAGGAATTTCTCCAGTCAGCTTGACTGTCTTTAAAAACCTTCCCTCTGTCCCTTCGATTAGTCCAGCTCAATAATACTTGAGTTGTCATAGCACATGCAAAGAGATGAGGGGGAGTCCAGAACCCTCCACTTTGTCACAGGTAGTTACAGTCTGCCGTGTGTAACTTTATCCCATGTCCATTTGTCATGATAGCTCTCTTCTCTTAATTTGATGGTAGTCTGTCATCAATCTGTGTCTGTGTGGAATTGTATGCTGGCCTCCTGCCAATCTTCATCTGACAAGATTGTGTTCCCATGCCTTCCCATCACCTCTTGCCCCTCTGTGCCCTCCTACCCACGCACACACCAAAACACTGCTTCCCCATCTCATTGGCTTCCTACCAATCTGCCATGGCACTTTCCTAGAACTAGCAATCCCCTCTGTCTGTTACTCCCTTTACAACAATCGTTCACCACTTGACCTGTGGCAGCGAAGCTGATGTCTGAATTGGAACAAACTCTCAGGCGCACAAAATTCTAACTATTGGCACGTCCCCATGGCCCCAAATCTTCCATGGTTTACAACTGCCACAAGCTTCATTGCCACCAGGAGTTGCTCTTGCCCCTTCCTGACTCCTGGTCCAGTTGACAAGTCTCTGTGACCACCTAGTTTTTCTGCATGTCCCTGTGTTAGAGTGTAAAGCAAACTGTCACCAGGGTTGGCAGGTCCTTGAAGCGCTTCAGCGGCAACACACTAAGTTTTCCTGGTTGTGGGGGAATGGAGTAGTTCGCAATGGGAGCTGCGTGACCGCTCCAACCAGCCTGAGAATGAATGGATGCAGCGGTACTCCGGTGTGAAGGAAAGAGGATGGAGGGGATACCGAAAGAGTGTTTTTCTATTGCAGTAGCATCTAAGAGCCCCAGTCATGGACCAGGATCCCATTGTGCTAGGTGCTATATAAATACATCAAAGAACTTAAAAGCCCCATCCTCCAAGAACTACAAAGCTGACACCATAGGAGGGTTCCCTGAGCACTGTGGATTCGGATAGTAACCAGAATACTTGACGCTCAGAGGTTGTGGTCGGGGAGAGTGCAGAAAGAAAGTTGGCTTCCTCCCACAATTAATAACTTTGTCTTTCAGTTACCATTACCAGCCCATTGCCATGAGGAAGTCCGTATCGCTGACTGCAAATCCCATTGGGTTTCATGGAGTGGAACTTCCTTCTGCGCCAGACTGCCTCAGTGCAACCCTTGTTGCCTTTGTTTCCCTTGCAGCTGGTTTCCTCCAGTTGCTGGTGGTTGTACATAGCAACAACATCTGTTGCATAAATGCAGCATTAACAATGAGACATTAAACACTCCTAAAGTTAGGCGAGTCTAAACATTCAGGCTGCTCCCACAGTATTATCTCTGCCATAGAATGATAGAAATGTAAGACTGCACCAGGTCCTAAGAGGTCATCTCGTCCAGGGGTTCAACAAACTGGGGTGTGTTGATTACTACTGGGGGGAGGGATAGCTCAGTGGTTTGAGCACTGGCCTGCTAAACCCAGGGTTTTGAGTTCAATCCTTGAGGGGGCCATTTAGGGATCTGGGGCAAAAATTGGGGACTGGTCCTGCTTTGAGCAGGAGGTTGGACTAGATGACCTCCTAAGGTCCTTTCCAAACCTGATATTCTATGATTCTATTTGGGGGGGGACAGGAAGGGAAACGTACTGGGCACATTCAGAGCTGGGTGGCCAGAGAGCAGCAACTGCTGGTCAGGCACCCAGCTCTGAAGGCAGTATCGTCGCCAGAAGCAGTGGAGAATTAAGGATGGTGTGGTATTGCCACCCTTCTCAGTGCTGCTACTAGCGGGCAGCGCTGCCTTCAGAGCTGGGCACCCAGCCAGCGGCCACCACTCTACGTTTAGAGCTGGAGAGCAGTGACTGGTGTGTGTGTGTGTGTGTGTAAACTACTACAGACACAAACTGGAGGGGGGGAGGCATAGATCAAATAAGTTGGAGAACCACTGATCTAGTCCATATCCCCTGTGATGAGGCAGGACCAAGTATACCTCAATCATCCTTGACAGGTGTTTTTCTGACCTGTTCTTAAACCTCCAGTGACAAGGGGTATGTCTACACTACGAAATTAGGTCAAATTTATAGAAGTCGGTTTTTTAGAAATCTGTTTTATATATTCGAGTGTGTGTGTCCCCACAGAAAATGCTCTGAGTGCATTAAGTGAATTAACTCGGCGGAGTTCTTCCACAGTACCGAGGCTAGAGTCGACTTCCGGAGCATTGCACTGTGGGTAGCTATCCCACAGTTCCCGCAGTCTCCACTGCCCATTGGAATTCTGGGTTGAGATCCCAATGCCTGATGGGGCTAAAACATTGCCACGGGTGGTTCTGGGTATATATCGTCAGGCCCCCGTTCCCTCCCTCCCTCTGTGAAAGCAAGGGCAGACAATCGTTTCGCGCCTTTTTTCCTGAGTTACCTGTGCAGACGCCATACCACGGCAAGCATGGAGCCCGCTCAGGTAACCGTCACCGTATGTCTCCTGGGTGCTGGCAGACATGGTACTGCATTGCTACACAGTAGCAGCAACCCCTTGCCTTGTGGCAGCAGACGGTACAATACGACTGGTAGCTGTCAGCGTCATGTCCGAGGTGCTCCTGGCCACGTCGGCCAGGAGCGCCTGGGCAGACATGGGCACAGGGACTAAATTTGGAGTGACTTGACCAGGTCATTCTCTTTAGTCCTGCAGTCAGTCCTATTGAACCATCTTATGGTGAGCAGGCAGGCGATACGGATTGCTAGCAGTCCTATTGCATCATCTTCTGCCGGGCAGCCATGAGATGTGGATGGCATGCAGTCTTTCTGCACATTCTGCTGCCAGCCAAAGATGTAAAAGATAGATGGAGTGTATCAAAACAAGAAATAGACCAGATTTGTTTTGTACTCATTTGCTTCCCCCCCACCCCCATCTAGGGGACTCATTCCTCTAGGTCACACTGCAGTCACTCACAGGGAAGGTGCAGCGAGGTAAATCTAGCCATGTATCAATCAGAGGCCAGACTAACCTCCTTGTTCCAATAAGAACAATAACTTAGGTGCACCATTTCTTATTGGAACCCTCCGTGAAGTCCTGCCTGAAATATTCCTTGATGTAAAGCCACCCCCTTTGTTGATTTTAGCTCCCTGAAGCCAACCCTGTAAGCCGTGTTGTTAGTCGCCCCTCCCTCTGTCAGAGCAACGGCAGACAATCATTCCGCGCCTTTTTTCTGAGCCGACGCCATACCAAGGCAAGCATGGAGGCCGCTCAGCTCACTTTGGCAATTAGGAGCACATAAACACCACACGCATTATCCAGCAGTATATGCAGCACCAGAACCTGGCAAAGCGATACCGGGCGAGGAGGCGACGTTAGCGCGGTCACGTGAGTGATCAGGACATGGACACAGATTTCTCTGAAAGCATGGGCCCTGCCAATGTATGCATCATGGTGCTAATGGGGCAGGTTCATATTGTGGAACGCCAATTCTGGGCTCGGGAAACAAGCACAGACTGGTGGGACCACATAGTGTTGCAGGTCTGGGACGATTCCCAGTGGCTGCGAAACTTTCGCATGCGTAAGGGTACTTTCATGGAACTTTGTGACTTGCTTTCCCCTGCCCTGAAGCGCATGAATACCAAGATGAGAGCAGCCCTCACAGTTGAGAAGCGAGTGGCGATAGCCCTGTGGAAGTTTGCAACGCCAGACAGCTACCGGTCAGTTGGGAATCAATTTGGAGTGGGCAAATCTACTGTGGGGGCTGCTGTGATGCAAGTAGCCCACGCAATCAAAGATCTGCTGATATCAAGGGTAGTGACCCTGGGAAATGTGCAGGTCATAGTGGATGGCTTTGCTGCAATGGGATTCCGTAACTGTGGTGGGGCCATAGACGGAACCCATATCCCTATCTTGGCACCAGAGCACCAAGCCGGCGAGTACATAAACCGCAAGGGGTACTTTTCAATAGTGCTGCAAGCTCTGGTGGATCACAAGGGACATTTCACCAACATCAGTGTGGGATGGCTGGGAAAGGTACATGACGCTCGCATCTTCAGGAACTCTGGTCTGTTTCAAAAGCTGCAGGAAGGGACTTTATTCCCAGACCAGAAAATAACTGTTGGGGATGTTGAAATGCCTATAGTTATCCTTGGGGACCCAGCCTACCCCTTAATGCCATGGCTCATGAAGCCGTACACAGCCAGCCTGGACAGTAGTCAGGAGCTGTTCAACTACAGGCTGAGCAAGTGCAGAATGGTGGTAGAATGTGCATTTGGACGTTTAAAGGCGCGCTGGCGCAGTTTACTGACTCGCTTAGACCTCAGCAAAACCAATATTCCCACTGTTATTACTGCTTGCTGTGTGCTCCACAATATCTGTGAGAGTAAAGGGGAGACGTTTATGGCGGGGTGGGAGGTTGAGGCAAATCGCCTGGCTGCTGGTTACGCGCAGCCAGACACCAGGGCGGTTAGAAGAGCACAGGAGGGCGCGGTACGCGTCAGAGAAGCTTTGAAAACCAGTTTCATGACTGGCCAGGCTACGGTGTGAAAGTTCTGTTTGTTTCTCCTTGAGGAAACCCCCCACCCCTTTGTTCACTCTACTTCCCTGTAAGCTAACCACCTTCCCCTCCTCCCTTCGATCACCTCTTGCAGAGGTAATAAAGTCATTGTTGCTTCACATTCATGCATTCTTTATTCATTCATCACACAAATAGGGGGATGACTACCAAGGTAGGCCTGGAGGGGTGGTGGAGGAGGGAAGGAAAATGCCACACAGCACTTTAAAAGTTTACAACTTTAAAATTTATTGAATGCCAGCCTTCTTTTTTTTGGGCAATCCTCTGTGCTGGAGTCGCTGGTTGGCCGGTGGCCCCCCCACCGCGTTCTTGGGCATCTGGGTGTGGAAGCTATGGAACTTGGGGAGGAGGGTGGTTGGTTACACAGGGGCTGTAGTGGCAGTCTGTGCTCCAGCTGCCTTTTCTGCAGCTCGAGCATACTGGTTTGATCCTCCAGCAGCCTCAGCATTGAATCCTGCCTCCTCTCATCACGCTGCCGCCACATTTGAGCTTCAGCCCTCTCTTCAGCCCGCCACCTCTCCTCCCGGTCATTTTGTGCTTTCCTGCACTCTGACATTATTTGCCTCTACGCATTCGTCTGTGCTCTGTCAGTGTGGGAGGACAGCATGAGCTCAGAGAACATTTCATCACGAGTGCGTTTTTTTGTTTTTTTCTTTCTAAACTTCACTAGCCTCTGGGAAGGAGAAGATCCTGTGATCATTGAAACACATGCAGCTGGTGGAGGAAAAAAAAGGGACAGCGGTATTTAAAAAGACACATTTAATAAAACAGTGGCTACAGTCTTTCAGGGTAAACCTTGCTGTTAACATTACATACATAGCACGTGTGCTTTCGTTACAAGGTCGCATTTTGCCTCCCCCCACCGCGTGGCTACCCCCTCAACCCTCCCCCCTCCCCGTGGCTAACAGCGGGGAACATTTCTGTTCAGCTGCAGGCAAACAGCCCAGCAGGAACGGGCTCCTCTGAGTGTCCCCTGAAGAAAAGCACCCTATTTCAACCAGGTGACCATGAATGATATCTCACTCTCCTGAGGATAACACAGAGAGATAAAGAACGGATGTTGTTTGAACGCCAGCAAACGTACACTGCAATGCTTTGTTGTATAATGATTCCCGAGTACGTGTTACTGGCCTGGAGTGGTAAAGTGTCCTACCATGAAGGACACAATAAGGCTGCCCTCCCCAGAAACCTTTTGCAAAGGCTTTGGGAGTACATCCAGGAGAGCCGCGAATGCCAGGGCAAATTAATCTTTTCACATGCTTGCTTTTAAACCATGTATAGTATTTTAAAAGGTACACTCACCGGAGGTCCCTTCTCCACCTGCCGGGTCCAGGAGGCAGCCTTGGGTGGGTTCGGGGGGGTACTGGCTCCAGGTCCAGGGTGAGAAACAGTTCCTGGCTGTCGGGAAAACCGTTTTCTCCGCTTGTTTGCTGTGAGCTATCTACAACCTCATCTTCTTCTTCTTCTTCTTCATCCCCAAAACCTGCTTCCGTGTTGCCTCCATCTCCATTGAAGGAGTCAAACAACACGGCTGCGATAGTGGTGGCTGAACCCCCTAAAATGGCATGCAGCTCATCACAGAAGCGGCATGTTTGGGGCTCTGACCCGGAGCGGCCGTTCGCCCCTCTGGTTTTCTGGTAGGCTTGCCTCAGCTCCTTCAGTTTCACGCGGCACTGCTTCGGGTCCCTGTTATGGCCTCTGTCCTTCATGCCCTGGGAGATTTTGACAAAGGTTTTGGCATTTTGAAAACTGGAACAGAGTTCTGATAGCACAGATTCCTCTTCCCAAACAGTGATCAGATCCCGTACCTCCTGTTCAGTCCATGCTGGAGCTCTTTTGCGATTCTGGGACTCCATCATGGTCCCCTCTGCTGATGAGCTCTGCATGGTCTCCTGCAGCTTGCCACGCTGGCCAAACAGGAAATGAGATTCAAAAGTTCACAGTTCTTTTCCTGTCTACCTGGCCAGTGCAGAATGAATGAGTCCCCACTAGGTATGTCCTCCCAGTGAACCATTGATAACTACTCTTTTTGAGTAGGGTTTTCAACCAGTTGTGCATCCACCTTTATAGTAATTTCATGCAGACAATAATGTCCTGTGGGACTATCTCAAAAGCATTATTAAAATAAAGCTGCATCATGTGTACCGCTTCCCCACTATCTACTAGGCCAGTAAGCCTGTCAAAGAAAGAAATTAGTTTGATTTGGCGTGACTTGTTCTTCACAAAGCTATGCTGGTGGCTGAGTTTTACTGAATCACGTGTCTTACTGAAGCATAATTTAGTTACTGCTCTGTATTGCACAGTTGCTTCTGATTTGTTTAAGTAACATCTTAGGGTGCCTAGAGCTTGGGATGTCCACCTTTTTTGTTCTCAAAAATCCAAAGTGAAATAAATAAGTAAATACTGCAGAGAGGGTTGGATTTTCCAAAGTGCTCCACACTGACCTAATGTTGCTCCCATTGAAGTCAATGGTAGACTTTTTTGGTAGGAACAGAGTTAAGCCAATGATGTGCACTTCTGAAAAACCCACTCTTAAAACCAAACAATACATTTTAACGTTTACAAGGATAAAAGGAATCTAAACCACTACATCGTGGGAGCTACCTTCACTTCTAGGGTCTTCTGACTTTTGAGTGCTCGACTTCCCAACCTCAGCATTGCACTGCCTTAGTTATTTGGAGGGGTAACTATTTATTTGTTTGCTCGATTGATTTTGTTTGCATGATTTGCCTTTGATTTCACTGACCATGAATTTATTTATTTATTTTATTTTATTTTTAATAAAGACTGACTTGGCTTGAGGTGCTTACAGAGATCATGGGCTTCTTCGATCTCTTAGATTTTTTTTTTTTTTTTTTTAAATAAGACCAGTTTGAAATTACTAGCTTCAGGCACTTTCAGATTCTGAGGTGTGTGTTCACACGCACATTTTCATACTCCAATGATCAAGCAGACATTGGTTCAAACTGAGAGATCATCTTTGGGCATTTTCATCTGAAAAAGAAACCTCTCTGAGGCAATAATATGCAACTTCTTAATTTTTGTAAAGGATGGGCATTAGGAATGGCTTGAAGCAGACAGTGGAACTCAACCATAACTAGCAGTTCCTTACATTTATCTTCTATTCTATTTTTATTATGTCTGTTGAATTTTAGTGAGGGATGGGCTTTTTTGTTGGGGTATTTTTGTTTTTTTTAAAGTAAAGTATTCGTAAGAGTGAATGGAGCCAGCCATAGTACCTTCTCTACAGGCTCTGCTCATATAGCACAATCTGGGCTTGCAGCACCTCCTGCTATGCTTCTCCTGGGCCATAGTTATCCAAACTTTGTAATTAGCTTTTCAGAGCGCTAAGGTCTAGTTAAATGCTAGAATGCTTCTGGTGAAGACTCTTCACTAACGTGTTTGTCCTGCCTGTGTGTCTCCCCTTTTGCAGGGATCTACATCCTGATTGCTGTTGGTGCAGTGATGATGTTTGTGGGGTTCCTGGGATGCTACGGTGCTATCCAGGAGTCCCAGTGCCTTCTGGGAACGGTAAGAGAGACAAATGCTTGAACACTACATGGTATCAGGCAGATCTTTTAACAGTCACCTAGCCAAATTTTGTGTGCAGAAAGTAGTGGGAGTAGTTTAAATCTGGACTGAATGGAGTACTGGAGAGCAGCACGTAGGGGAAGAATGTTGCATTGGCTACTGGATAAGACTAATTCTCACTCATCTTTAATAGTCGATGACGATGATGGGAACTAATCTTTCGGACACTGACTAAAGGTATAAATAGCTTCAGTGTTCTTGGAGGATGAGTGTAGTCTCCCTAGGTATCGCTCTTTCTCTACCACCCCCCACTCTTTTGGACGTGAGATTCCCTGTGCGTGTCAGGAGAGGAACCGTCTCCCTTGCTCAGAAAGTTTGTGCTGCTAGTGAATGTCACCAGCCTCTTGCTGATTCCTGGCCTTAGGATGGGGGCAGGAGCTTAGAATGTAGAATGGGAGGGTGTAGGAAGCAGGGCACACTGAGATTCATTCCAGCAGTCACAGGGGAATGAGGCCAGTTGGGACTCACTGCATTTATTTGTCCCACTCTGGACACAGGGCCTCTAAGCAGTGACAGAGGACCCCCCCCCCCTTTCTTACCTAGTGTCCTCTACAAACTGCCCAAACCCTGGAAATCAGTTTCTGCCTCAAGTGGATAACCCAGTTCCTTAAGGGTTAACTGACTGTGCTGTGGCCAAGAGTAAATGCTTGGCTTAAGCTTCCTACACTACCACAGGGAGGCCTTCATGGTAAATGCTGGGACACTTTGTTATTCAAGCAAGCATTATCAGTGTGATCCAACAGTTCAGGACACTGGACAGGTTCTGTTCTATTAACATTTGTACAAACACCAAGCCCACACAATGCTGTTGTCCCCATTCACCTTGACCTCCACCGTATCTCTTTGTGTTTATTAACCATGGCATTCCAGTAGGGACTACTCAGCACCTAAAACTGAGCTAGGTGCTTTAGATATGTGGTAAACAGATGCCAGTTTCTACGGTCCAGTATATATCTATCAACAGGGGAACCTGAATAATGGAGGCCCGGTAAACTAAACCATTGGAGCATGGAGATGATTGTGATGGTAGTAAAGAGAGGGACTCTTCGCCGGTCTTAGTGTTCAGAGTGGGAAGTACGTTTGGATTAATCATATGTCCAGTTTCCTGAGTTTTCACAATAGACTATTCCATGATATTTCCAGCTCATTCTTGTGACATTTTGGTACTTTCAGAATCCAGAACTACTAAAAATTTGAAAAATAGGAGGTGAATGAGGGAACTATTGATTTCTGAACTTTCTTTGACTCTTGCAAGTTTTGGTCTCAACTTTGGGTGAAAGTTCATGTTCACGTTGAATCCCAGTGCTGTAAAGGACTCTGGCTGGAGAAGTTCCAGCGCTCAAGTGTGTTCATGGACTGCCTGGAATTAAGACACATTGCAATGGTACATCCTGTGTATTCTGGGAAAGAAATCTATCCTTATGAGCCAGCTTCCTGTTGCCATCTCTTTGTGTTTGTCCTTAAAGAAAACACAGCACCCCAAAAGCCTCTACTTGTGCGGGAGTTTATTTGTTTAAAATTAGTCCTAGGCTGGGTTGTAATCTTAGACTAGACTCCAGTCTATCTGGCTTTCCAAGGGAAAATGTTTCACAGCACTCTCCAGTTAGGGGATTGAGCACCACACTGGGACTCAGAGCCAGGAACAGAACTCAGGTTTCCTGCCACCAGCCTGATGGGTGATCTTAAGCAAGTCATTTCTGTTCCCCGCCCCTCAGTTTCCCATCTATAAAAGGGTGATAATGATCCTGATCTCCTTTCTAGAACATTTTGAGCTCTCCTGATGAAAAGTGCTATCGAAGAGCTAGATATAATTACTAATAACAGTTGAAGGTGAGAGGAACCAACTGGCAAATATGGCAGTGGTTATCTGAGTGAGATCCTGAGGACCTTGGGAATATTCTGTCAGCAAGTTCTTGTAAAACCAAGGAACTACAGTAATTGAATACCCTGCCTCCCTTTGAAGTCTGGAAGGAGATTTAATGGGCAGATGATAGAATCTAGGTGAGACCTCATAGTGAAACTGATTGCTATGGCTGAGATTAGCAGTGTTTGACTGCATCCCTCCCTCCCACTTTTGTTTGCCAAGGGAAGGCTGAAGGCACCTTTTGAATGACACCTGATAAGCTGTGGTTACATGAGGAAACTGATGCTACTGTGCATTGAGTCATGGAGCTTTCAAGGCAAAGTGTTTTAACCCACCAGGTATTTATTTCCCCTCTGTGACCTCACTCCCCGTGTGGCCGAGGATAATGGGTGTTCATGGGAAAATGTTCATCACAAAGGAGTAATACAAGCCAGTCCACAGCATTTAAATTGTCCACAAAAGCCAGACTGGAGATAGAGGCGCTAAAGACTAGGAACCACGGAAGTGATCTATTGAGAATATGTTCTAATGCCACAGACACTATTCTCGCTATGTAGCTGGTAGGAGGAAGGTTTTCCTCCCCTAGCACACCTTGAAAGTTCTGTACTGCTGCCATCTCCACGGATGTAACTTTGGGGAGCGTAAGAAGATGCATGAGGAAATGACTATTTGAATGGAGACTCAGGAAGAGAATAACACAAAGAGGAGGCGTTGGTACTAAATGCGTACACCATATGCATCATGAGTTTTGCTTCGAGGGATGCTGGATAGCTTTTTGGACGGCAAGAAATAAAGCACTCCTTGTTTTGCAGTAATGTGACCTTCAAAAGATTAACAGGAGCCCCTGAAATGGAAGGGCAAGCTTTCCAGCTGGACCCTGGGAACGTGGCTTTTGCTATAAGGGAAGATGTAGTAAGGATCTTGGTTCTGGAGAAGGGTAAGGAATAGATTCTGTGAATTCCATGTCACTAGGGAGCACTTTAAGTCAAGGCACTGAGCTTTGATATCACAGAGCCTGACTGGAGCTTTTTTGCTCCTGTTTTCAGTATGGCAGCACTGACCAAACTCCCTAAATCCTACCCCTGCTTGCACTGGGCTCTGTGTGAAATCTGGCCTGGGTTCTCTATGGGAGGAAGCTCCTTTGGAAGTACCAAGTGCCTGGTCAGGAATCTGGAGGGGGTGTCTCAGAACATTAACTTTATATAGGAAGAGTTTCATAACTTACTTGCAAAAATTATTAAAAGTGCAGCTTTCCAAGAACATGTAAATAAACATCTTTTTCTCACCGAGGATACCAACTGCAAGAGTGAAACCTAGTGTCCAGTCTGGAAATTACAGCAGCCTTGCCCCAACTGTTTGGATTGTTACAATTGAAACTGCACGCACTGGCTACAAATGCCTCAAGTTCTCTCTTTTGTATAGAGCACCACTTCTACTTCTTGTAATCCCTTTCGTTTTACACATTGGAGTCTAGGCTCTGAAGTTCCAGATCAGAGGCCACAAAAACAGAATAATTTTGTTACAAGTACAGTTTAAAAACTCCTTTTTCCTGTCTTCCTGGTATCATTGTGCATGTGTGTGAGTGAGTGAAACTGGGAAAGAAATCCCAATTGCCAATAATATGGTGCTCCCTTTTGTGATGTATTCTTTCATCTGCACATCCACCTCTTCCCTTTCTGCACATCCACCTCTTCCCTTCCCTTCCATGAAGTTGGCTGCCAAACAACTAGGACAATAGCCTTTCCCAGCAGAGAGTTGGTCTAGGGAATGGTGTAACAGGACTGGCTGTGGGAAATGCTCAGAGAACTCTCCACCCCATGCTTTCCCCACAGGAATGGTGTAGGAACACTTAGATGGCACTTGACTTGGACCAGTGTTATTTAGCTTCTCTTTCTTCTTTCATTAGTCTCCCAAAGCCAGAATAGAAAATTAACTCTCTGGTCCTCCTGGAAACCCAAAGGTCTGTCCCTGGCAGTGGTGGAACAGGAGTTCCCAGGGAAACGTTATGGTCAAAAGGGCTAATACTATCTTTGGATGCATAAACAGAGGAATCTCAAGTAGGATAGGTTGGTTTTTATGTCTGTGTTTGGCACTGGTGCAACCACTGCTGGAATATTGTGTCCAGTTCTGTTGTCAACAATTGAAGAAGGACGTTGCTAAATTGGAGAGAGTTCAGAGAAGAGCCAAGAGAATGATTTAAAGGATTAGAAAATATGCCTCATAGATTGGGCTCCTGGAGCCTATCGCTATTTATCTTAACAAGGAGAAGCTTAAAGGGTGATTTGATTAGTCTCTAAATACCTCCATGGGAAACAAATCTTGGATAATAGGCTCTTCAGTCAGACACAGAAAGGTACAACACAATTCAATGGAACTTGAAGTGAGACGAAATTCAGAGTGGAAAGAAGGCATACATTTATCGAGGGTCGGGGTGGATTCTCCACCGCTGACAATTTTTAAATCAAGGCTGGATGTCTCTTTAAAAGATGTTTTCTAGGAATAATTGTGGGGAAGTTCTATGGGCTGTGTTGTGCAGGTCAGACTAGACGATCACAGTGGGTCCCTTCTGGCATTGGAATCTATTAATCTTGTAGAGGGAGGTTCTGGCTTGGCAGGAGTGGAGTATTCGGGTTAAGTGCTAATAAGGTGAGGCTGAGAGAGTCATGTGTGTTCATATTTATGCAAAAAACTGCAGTAGCTTTGCAGGGCTGCAACTGCCAAGAGAACCCTCCATAAATCACAGCCTGACGCACTGCCGCTCCTCAGTGGCTGGTACATGCTGTTATCCCCATGCTGACAAATCTAGAATGGCTTGTGTCAATGCAGGAAGCTCGCACACGTTCCCTGTAAGCCCAGGAAGGTTATCTTTTTTTTTCCCATAGAGCCCCTCCCTTCTCTCTTGTTCTGAGTGATGGACAGGTCTCTGATCTCTCCCCAACCCAGACCAGCCTGAATTGTTCCCAGAGTGGAATTGCTCAAGGGTCTCTCCAGGTGCCATGCATGTAGAATGTTTTTGCCACCAGATCCTTGAGCCATTGAAGCCACGTTGCTGTCCCCATCAGCTGAGCCATATTTTTCCCTGGTGGGACAATTCTGCCCCATTCTTCCTCCAGTGGAACTGTGAGCTGCCCTCCCCAAAGCCCCTTTCTCTGCCCTGTAGTCAAGCCTCTTAATGTCCCTCTCCTAATCTGTCTTCACAGTTCTTCACTTGCCTGGTGATCCTGTTTGCTTGTGAAGTGGCTGCTGGAATCTGGGGGTTCGTCAATAAAGATCTGGTAAGAAAAATATCCCTGAAACTCTTGTTCCTCTGCAATCATGCGGTTGTGCAAGAGTCTGCTACGTTTCTGTCCCAGCCGGTGGAATGATGGTCTTGTGCTTGAGGCATAGACTGAGACTCTGGAGTTGTGGGTTCAGTTCCTGGTTCTACCACAGACTCACTATGTGATCTTGGGTAAGTCACTTAACCTTTCTGTGCCTCACTTCCCCATCCATAAAATGGGGATAATACTTCCTTTGTTTAGTGCAGTAAGCATTTTGTGGCAGACTCCTCCTTATATATACAAACACACAGTATGTATGTACAGTGCCTAGAAGAATGGGGCCCTGATCTCAGCTTGGTTCTCTAGGTGCTATTGCAATACAAATAACACAAGTGGACCCTTGCATAGAGTCCTGGAGTGTAATGTGGGTGTGCATAGATATATGGTGGGGAAAAAAAATAGCGCAAACCTGGCTGCATAGCACAAAGGGAATCTCTGGACTCTCACAGCACCAAACCCCAGTGAGTATTCTGGCTCAGGGACCAGGTTACATTGTAAGAAGGGATCTCTTGGAAATTACTGTTCCTCAAAAGTGCAGTGTACATGCTGTGAATTTTCATCATGCAAGGAGCAGAGTGCTGCTGTCTTAGATTCCAGGCATGCACAAGATGCAGAGACCGTATACAGGCCAGGCACTGGGTCCTGATCACTCACACATGAGATGGGAATGATGGACCTACTCCCTGGCAAGCCTATGTGGACTTTTCAGCCTGAAATCTCGGTATTCGATGTCTAACCCTTGGTGCCTCAGGATGAGTATATGTGTTCTGAGGAGCCAGAAATGAAGGACAGGACCTGAGTAAACTCCCTCCTTTTGCCTCCCCACAGAAGCACCACTTCCCTTTTCTGCCCTCTTCCCCACCCCTCTATGAAGACACACACAGCAGCTGCCTTGTGCTGATACCCACCTCCCAGACACCAATTCACTTCCCTACATAACGTCACCAGTGTCTCCATGTTGATTTCTCCCTGTCTTCTGGATTGAGAGATGCTGGAGGGAAGATGTCTCATCAGGGACCAGAGTAGTGTTCCCTAAAGAGGGGTGGCAGGATAGGGCTGGCTCCACCTTTTGACTCCGTACCTGCCCCTACCTTTCTTCTTGCACAGCACTCCTCAGAAACTGGTGTAACATGCACGCATGCTCTGTCCTCCAAGGATCTACGGTCTCTGTGTGAGAACTTTGGCAATCCCACAGTGAGGCGGGAATTGGGCATTAATATTCTGGTCCCTTCACCATCGGGGGGCTCAAGAAGAGAAGGGGATTTACTGTGCTTGGAGAAACAGTTAGCATTGGGTGGGGTGGCGGTGAGAGTTGGAAAGTCAATTGCTTTATTAAGAAGTTTAAACTACACAAGCAGGTGGTTGTCAGTTCCATTTGAGAGACCTCACTCACTCAGCTGTGGATGGAAACATTCAACCAATGATTCATAGGAGAAAAGCATTACTTCATTAGTAAAAGCTCTGTAGCTAAGGATAAGAACCCTTTCAGGATGGTTGTGGGCTATGTAAAATGTTACTTTTGTCTGGGTATTGTTGGTGAGAGGCCAAGAGGTGACAGAATAAAATCCAGTTAAGAATTTGATTTTGATTTTTATGTGGAAGACACTCCGATACCAAGGGGATGGGCGGCAGTATAAAACCCTAAAAGAGGACAAGGATTTGCCAACCTGATGAGAGCAGTGGTGTTCGCAACTTGTGATTTAATTTAACATTTGAATATGAATGGGGGTAATTCAGGCTCTTGCTTGATCACACTTGTTGTGTCTGTTCTCCCTGCGCTCAGGGGTGCAGTGGCTGGGGATCTTGGCTAATAATTCTGACAGTCTGTTTCTACCCTCCTCCCCATCCACCCTGCTGATGCACCTCCTAACTAACATGGGAGGAGCTAGGGCTGATGGGGCCTTTCTGATCAAAGGAGAGGCTACTCTCTGTAAACTTCTCTGCTGAATGGCCCTGACTAAAGGTCACTTGCATTAATTGGTGCCAGTGGCATTGGAGCACACTGGAGTATTTCCTAAGATTCAGAGTATTTGCATTTCCCTCACCCCTGAGTATTTCCTAGGAAATCCACTTTACATATATTGTCCTAAAAAGTCCTTTGAAGTTCCTAATATCTCCTAGAGATTGCATTAATCCGGTCTTCCTGCTAGAAGTCATTCTTCCGCTCTACTCTGGGCTGATTAGGCCTCAGCTGGCGTATTGTGTCCAGTTGTGGACACCACATTTCAGGAAGGATGTGGACAAATTGGAGACAGTCCAGAGAAGAGCGACAAAAATGATTAGAGGTCTAGAAAACATGACCTATGAGGGAAGATTGAAAAAAAAATTGGCTTTGTTTAGTCTGGAAAAGAGAAGACTGAGAGAGGACATAACAGTTTTCAAGTACATAAAAGGTTGTTACAAGGAAGAGGGAGAGCAATTGTTCTTAACCTCTGAGGATAGGACAAGAGGCAATGGGCTTAAATTTCAGCAAGGGAGGTTTAGGTTGGACATTAGGAAAAACATCCTAACCAGGGTGGTTAAGCACTGGAATAAATTGCCTAAGGAGGTGGTGGAATCCCCATCATTGGAGCTGTTTAAGAGCAAGTTAGACAAACACCTGTCAGGGATGGTCTAGATAATATGTAGTCCCTCCATGGGTGCAGGGGACTGAACTGGATGACCTCTTGAGGTCCTTTCCAGTCCTATGATTCTAAAGAAGTTACATACGATCCCCCACATTTTTAATATAATGAACGCCAAGCATATTTGAATTAAGTTTAAGTTAGGTCAGCAAGGTTTATCCAGGATATTGCCATAATTGTCACAAATACAGCCCAGCTCTTCTTGCTCATCTGGGAATGACAGTGACTGGGGACTAGCTGGGCTGCCTGGCATCTGTGCCACTTTGTTGCTGCCTTGCAAAGCAGTTGGAAGGATCTGTTTAGGTTTATCTTCTGTGGCTGTAAGAGGGATTTTCTTGTTCTCCCGCTGCAGGTTGCCAAAGACGTGAAGCAATTCTACGATCAAGCATTGCAACAAGCGTTGCAACAAGACCAGTCAGATTCTGACGCAACTAATGCGAAAACTGTGGTGAAGACCTTCCATGAAACGGTAAGGTGCCTGGGATAGCTATGTGGGGGCTCTCCACAGGGCATAAAAATAATCTACCCAGTCGCAGTACTACCTCCAAATGAAAGGTCCCCAGCTATCCACAGGGGATATGCACCTCAGAGTAATTTGACCGACCGACATGTGTGATGAGCCCTCCTTCAGTTTGTGGGACTTTACAGAAGTGGTCAGGAATAAGCATTGTTGTGCATAAACTGCTCCTCCTGTGAAGGAAGAGGCAGTGAGGTTGAACAGCTGGTGCCTTGGACTTAGTGTAGCGAAGGCATTAGCATGATCAGGAGCTGGTATCAAGGCTTTCTCAGCACAGGGTCTTTGCTGTGAAGATCTGAGTTAGCTCAACCCTAGCGATGTTCAGAGCTTGGTGCAAAAAACATCTCTTTTTTTCAGAAGGCTTGTGAAATAACAAGCAATGAGGAGCTGAAGGAATGGTGACAGGGAGATGCCAGGTCTGAGTATTTGAACCAAGGGATGGCAAGAGCAGGGCCCACTGGAAACTAAATTACATCCAGATCTTAATATTTTGCCCTGGATGCTTAGGCATGTTGTATAGCTACCTGAGATAGGTAGGATGATGGAGGTGCCCACATAGTATTCTGTCTAACATGGAGCCCATTAAGTCATGTCCGAGTTTAAATAAAAGCCCTTTTGTTTACCCTGAAGCTATCCCATACCTCCATTAAATAGAATCCAATGGAAGAGGAGCTCAGCTCCAATTAATTTGTCCAACATTTCCTCTGGCTCTAGCTAGATCTTCTGGAATCTCCAGGGGCCAGGAGTACACATCTCGTAGGATTATCCTATCCAGCCACTGCACTACATAGAAATCAGAACTTGAATTTGGAGGTTTGGTACCCTCCATACGAGCCAGGCTGGTACCTGTGACCTGGAAATGCAGCCTGCTAACCCTGTTTTCTCTCTACATATAGCTGGATTGCTGCGGTGCAAATACCATAATGGCCATAGGCACCGCGGTCATACGTAATGATCTCTGTCCAAAGGAACAAATCTTGGTGGAAACTGTTGTCCAGGTAGGGATGGCTGCTGTTTCTACCGTACAGTGTTGGGTGAGGGAGCAAGTCCATGGAGCCCTACTACAATCTTGACACACCCAGGAAACTTGCCCTTGCCCTGGCAGGGTAACAGGGGTTGCTCAGTCCCAATTCTTGAATTGGAGTTGACTTCCCCATCACTCTCCCATCAAGAAGGGGAAGAAAGCAATGCATCAGAATTAAACAATCCGTCTTCTGTCTTAATTTCCCCTCAGGAGCCAGCCCTCTCTGCTTGCTGGCAAAGGTGTGGGGGGAATAAGTGGGGATAGTAAAGGAATAAGGATAAGAAACTCATCTCCTCAGCATTGACAGCCCCACTGGAAATAGATTGGCTATTCAGCACCAAGGAAATCCTCCACAGGAAGTCAGTCCAGGGCATGGTGCTACTCTTGCATGCTATGGTTAGGGGATGGGGTGACTCCAGCTTGGCTGTTCTTCAAAAATGTAGAAAATAAGGTGCTGGAAGCTACCAAAGGGGTGAAATTTTCATTCCTACTGAAATCAATTGGACTTTTGATTTCACTGTGCCCAGGAAATTATGCCATGAAGTTGCATGGGAAGGGGGAGGGATAGTAGAAACAATGAACTCCACTTCTTCCTGTACAAATGTGCCTTGGTGTACAACTAGAGAGAGAGAGACCAAGCTGTCTGACATGCGTTCTCCTCTGCTTAGGGTCGCCTACCCCAGGATTGTCATAAGAAGATTGATGAGCTGTTCTCAGAGAAGTTGTACCTGATCGGTGTTGCAGCCATTGTGGTGGCTGTGATCATGGTAAGTGTGAATATTGGTGCAGCACATGAGGGTGTATGGTTTAAACTCTGACTTTCATCTGGATTTTTAAAGTGAAACCATAAATCTAGTGCTTGTGAAAGCACATGGCTACCACTGACTCACTAACACGGCATGGGCTATGTTTCTCCATGTAGCTCTACTGCTAATACTGATCTGAAACTCCTACTGGCGTCCCCCACAAAACTGACCTCTCCTGCCCTGTTTGCCAAGAAAGCTCTTCCCCAGCCTCTCCAGCTGTCCCAGTGCACCTCAATCCTGACAGATCCCAACTGTGCCGAGTTGAGTGTTGGCTCCATGACACAGACGGAGACTCACTAGAGAGTAGGGTCGGAGACATCAGACTTGGAGTATTGTAACCAGAGTCATATTTAGAGGCAAGTCTCTGGAGCGTAAAGGCAAAATGACTTCATCTGTTGCCCCATCTCATCTCCCTTGAAAACCATTTTAATTCCAGCCTGCCTTTCAAGGCTTCGTGCTGGAAGGAATTTGTTTTCCTTCCCATGATGCACTCACTTCCCACCTCAGTGTAGATAGACTAGAGAGCTAGCCAGGAGCACAGTGCCCCTTTCCTTGTCCATTCCAATTCTCATTCCCATCAGTGCTCTGTTTTCTGTTGCCCCCTGTCCTGCAACCCAGACACTGAATACCACAGTAACAGTCTCCAGGCTTGCTGCTCTGCTCTGAGTTCTAACTCGTGAGGTCCACAGCAGAACGAGTGGTGGTTATGAATTTTGCCAGGTGCCCCTTTTAGAAACTATGGCAATGTTTTTACTCAAAATACAACTAACCTGTAGTGCTCTCTGCTGCAGGGTATTACTGAGGTATATCATTTTAAATTTCACAAGGGGATTAGACACTTACGAATTTTTAAAAACCACTCTAACTGAGATGAAGTTACAAGAGTGCTCTGTCCTGTTCTTCAGGGTGCACGTGGATCTCCCAGCTGGAGGCAGCAAACAATTTTATTTCCCTCCTACATTTCAGAACTTCTTCAGTTAGTCTATATGAGATTTCTTCTTCCTCCAAAGCATCCATTGGCTACTTTCAGAGGCAATATACCAGGACTAGATGGGCCATTGTCCTGTTCTTGCATTGTAAATTATGAGCTGAATTCTCAACAATGTCCAGGCTCTGCTCTGACACAGTGGAGGTAGAGTGACCTCAGGAAACAGCCAGTTGCAGTGCCCCAATCCTGTTGTACCCAACACCAGATGAAGTTAGAGCAGCTGAGAGCCTAACTGGCTTACAGTCAGTGGAGGATAGGTATAGCATGGCTCTGCCTATGACATGACCCCCACTTCCTCTTGTGCCAGAAGTGGAGGAAGGATGATGGGGTCCTGGATTGGCACAGCAGACCAGTGAATCAAACTCTCTGTGTCCTTGAGCTCTACCCAGGAGAAGATAATGGATGGGGCTGTCTTAGGTCATTGGGGATTACAAATGAGAATTTCACTGGTAGCTTTGTCTCCTTACAGATCTTCGAAATGATCCTGAGCATGATACTGTGCTGTGGCATAAGGAATAGCACCGTGTATTGAGAAGTGGAGAGCTGGGGGGGGGGGGGGGGAAGGTTGGAGATGACCGTGCAAAAGGGACCCCAAGTGCCACCAAGTGACCAGGAGACATTTCAACAAAAGATGACAAAGAAAACTATGTATATAAATACTTCCAATATTACCATGCAGTACTTATCATTTTTACTTTAAACTACTTTTTTTTTTTTAAACAAGTAAAACTTTCCCATGATCTTGTGGCTGAGTTAGTTACACATCAGTTTTGTGTGGTAGGGAAAGCTACTGTACCAGCGATTCTGACCCCCCCCCCCTTTTTTTTTTTTGGTCCTCCCCATTATTTCAGTGATGATGTTTATGGTGCAGAAACACAGAGGTACAGAGCAGCGGGCTACAGCCTCTTGTGAGGACAATGAACACCTTTGCCTAGGTTTTTTGTTGTTTTTTTGTTTTTGTTTTAAGTTTATAACTGGAAACTGAAGCAGGGTTTTTTGTTTTCCTCTTTTCCCCATGGCCCTGACTCCATGGCATTCCCTAGCTGCTTATAGGAAAGTTTGACTTGGTGTGCAAAGCCTGGTAGAAATGAGAGGCCGGGGACATAGTCGTTCAAGTGGAGATAGCCTGTTCCAATCAGACCTCTTTATGTTGTTAAATAAACATGAGAGTTGAATAGTGACAATTTTAAATTCTAACTTTTGATTTTTTTTCCCATGGAGTTTGTAACTCATTTAAAAACAAAAAAACCAAATTGACCCATTCATTTAGAGCTGAAGCTGTCTCACGGGTTCATAGCCAAGGAGTGAATTCTTACCCTGATTTTTCCACCCCAAATTCTACAAATGACTGAAAAATAAATCTGCTTTATGTTCCTGGGGGCTTACTGTCCAGTCTGGTTTTGTTAGTTTCTAATTTGAACTAATACTTCCATATAAATGATACCTTAAAAAGGGGAGGGTAGGTAAGCGCTGAGATTTGGAACACTCAGAATCCTCCACAAAACAAATGCAGGATGACTTTTGGGTGTATTCTCATGTTATTTCAAACTAATGTTGTCTTTGCATCATAATTCTCTTTGATACAGTTTTGCTTGCTCATTGCATATTGTCATATATGCTGTAATTATGCCAAAAATCCTGTAACCTATTAAAGAAACATTGTTTTTTAAAAGCCCTTAATTTAAAACCTACATTAAGAGTTGGAAACCAACTCGCTCAAGCTGGGAAATTCAGGATTTAAGAAGGCACCAGTTTGAACATACTTTTTTGTGTGGGTTAAAATCCAAGCTAGATGTTACCAACTAAATGTGTGTGGCTTTAACTGTATGCCACTCCATTGGACTAACAGAATCGCTATTGCCCTGTACATAGAGGATACTGTGTGCCTCAAATCCTATGTAATAAACCGTCTGTCTCTCTCAAAGATGTTCTATATGTATAGATAGATATATTTTAAACAAAACTATTTCACTTTTCCCTACCCCTTATGGGCACTTGAGTTGGGGACTACAGCATCTTGCAGCTGTTGGCTGAGCAGAAGCAGGATGTTTTTATTCTCAGCCCAGTAAAGATTTGAGGTTCCTCTTGCATTCTCTCTCTTCCCGCCCCCGTCCACCCTTTTAAGGGATGTTTCTGTTTCCCTGAAGTGTTTCTTTTGTAACTTTCAAAAGGAAGAGTGTTCCAAATCAGGTTTGGGGTGAGGGGGATCCTGTGTTCTTTCTAGGCCATACACGTCCCTTCACCATTGTGCGTTGGATACCACAGCCATTGCTACACGCTGAATGAGGGATTCCCACAAGTGGGCAAATTGATCAATCCAGAGGCTTATTTTTTCTCCTTGTTTCCCTTTCTTGCCTCTTTAAGCACATAAGGGCTTTTAAAAAAAAAAAAAAGTAACCTAAGGAAGAGATGTATCAACACAGCCTAGATTGATTGGGGGTTGGGCGGGAAGTAATTTAACCAGAGAAGCAGCCTTAAAGTAACATTGCTCTGAATGTCCATTTTGCATGCATTGGAAACAAGAACAGATTGTGCACCAGGTGCCTCCTCCACTGTACATTTTTTAGGGTCACCTCCTCTGATATGTGGCTAAATGTAAAATGTGATGCATCAGCTGAGCATGTGTGTTTACATATATGTGCATCAGGGCTGTTAGAATACAGAATGGATGTGTAACTCGCCACCTCTTTGTCGACTGTTGATAAATATGCCATTAAGCATTTCAGTTTTGTTTTTTCCTATACCGTATATTTGATATTGTTCAGTATTCAGTTAATATTGTGTCAGTAGCTGGAGCTCTGTTTGAAGATTTGCTGGGTCTCCAAAGAAGCAAGTGCAGGTCAGGCACGTTCTTAGATGTAGCTTTAAGGTACTAGACTTGCCCTTTGCAGTAGCAAGTGGGAAGAAGCGACTATTGAGAAGCGTGCTGGGCTGAAGCCTGATAAGTGTGGGAGGAAAACACAGAAGCAAAGTCTTTGGTCAAAAAGTGCTCTGGGATTGCTGGAATTTGTCATCTGCCTCCGAACTACATAACAGAAAGTAACTAGTCACTTCGCACTCTAGTGGTGGCCTTGTAGTTGTCAGCTACCTATGCAGCCTCCCGCCCTGGAGAAGAAGCCTGCATGGAAGAGATGCTGATGGAACTCGGAGCTCTAAAGGCTGGGGAAATGGTTTTTGAATGTGGTGGCGGCGGCAGTGATTTGGGACTAGGTTAGAGGGAATAGAGTCCTGAGAACACAGAGTGGTACTGGAGGTCACTGAAGGAAGCTGAAAGATGGGTTTCACTGGGTGGCATTAATGCCCTGTCCATTTCTCTTCAGGGTTATTACAGGAGTGTTCCCATGTCCCATTGCTTGTTTGTCAGCCCACCAGGCCAGGGGAGGGAAAGAAGGAGCTGCCATGCTTAAGAATGGACTGAGGAGTTGAGGAACAGCTGAGGAAAAACAACCCCCTTTGGTCTTCTCTGTCCTAAACTCCTGAGAAGGGGAGGCCTAAGCAGAATGGAGGCAGGGGTATGTGAAAATTTGAGAGTAGACTCCCCCCAAGTTATCCCTGAGAACTGCTCAGTATCCAAAGGGACATTGCCCTGTATCTGAATAACCAGTCCTAAAGCTAGATGAGGAGGAAGAGAAGCAGAACACAGGCCCCATGTTCCTGCTAAGTGACTATCCTGCCTATGTATGTGTACACACATGCAAGCATACAGACCCAGGGCCTGATCCTGGAGACCCTTTACAGATAGGATTGGTGTCCACTGCATAGGGCTTTGCAGGATCAGGGCTGTGGGCTATAAATACGCACAAACACTGCCTCTGAACAGAAACCAGAGGAAACGACCGGTCATTGAGAAAACAGTCATAAGGCAAAGGAAGAAGAGGAGAGCCCCATCTCACTGCGGGAGGCCAGGAGCAGGGAACTAACCAGGGCTGGGTTTGAAGACCCATGCTAGAAAGTCAAACAGAGCTGCTGCCAGCTGAACTGAATGCTTGGGATTCTTTTATATTATGGAGCATGCCACAAAGCTGTGTGTTTAACTTCTTCCTCCAGATGCCTTGTTTTTTTGTTTTGTTTGTTTTTAAGAAAAAAAATCTAATGTTAATCATAGTGTGTATAGTGTGACCATGCTCTACGATTTACAACCAGTTCACCTTAACACCAGGATGCTTCATGAGCCAGGCTGTGGCAGCATGGGCAGAGCCAGGCCTCTGGAATGATGGAGGAGGAGGAGAAATGGGCAGGCTGGAGAGGGACATCCAGAATCAAGCTAAGTAAAGGCAAATGGCTCTTGCCAACAGCAGTTGCTGCCGCAGGTGCCCTCCTTTGGGAGGGGCAGCAGTGGGGGAGCTAGTATGTATTCCAAAATGACGAGAGGGTTAAAATTCAGAAAGGCCTGTGGTGGCTAAAAAGCAACTGAGAATATCCCAAAGAGCTCATTGTTCCCCGACCTAACGGAATGGCTTTCTGATGTGTCAGATGGTCCAGCCAAGGGGTAACTGACTGCTGCCATCTGCCCCATCTGATGAAGCTCCTGCAGTGAGCAAGAGGGGCAAGTACAGTGCTGTGATCCCACAACTGCCCTTCCCTACCCATCCCCTGTACCTTTCATGACCGGCAGTACAGGCATCCCAGGTTGGCTCCAGGCTCCCACCATTGCTTCTGCTGAAACAGGAACGGGAGGGAGAGGTGTCCTGTGTGACTGTCCCCAAAACACAAGCAGCCTCCATTTCTTGCTCCCTTTGGCTGTGCCTGTGCTAAGACATCATGTCCATCCATTGTCTTTTCACTTGTTTACCTGAATGTTAATGGAGTCCAACAATTACTTTACTTTACAAAATGGATATTTAAAAACAATAAACTTACCAAAAAAAGTGTTGTCAGCTTTTGTCTCTTTCCAAGGATGAGATCCCAGCCGCCTCTTCAAAGAGAAACAGGGGGCTCTGAATTCAAGCTTGGGTGAACCCTGTCTCCTTAACTTCCCTGAGTATTAATAAAGTCTATATTTTGAGTCCTATTTTTGACAAGTTTCCCCTCCCACTTCCACACTTTCCAGGGCCCCTAGCTATCCTTTTAGACATGTGCATGTTGGTGGTGTTGGCCACTTTTGGGGGGGTGGGGTTGTTTGTTTGTTTTTTAAATCCTTATTGGAAGCATTACAAATAAATGAATACATATCAATGCCATGCCTTTTCCCTGGGTTAATCAGAAGCACTGCAGTACATATCCCAGTGTGGTGATATTTAAAACACTCCAGGTACAAATTCACACAAATTTCTTTGGTTTTTTTCCCAGTTCAGTTCACACAGATATAGCTCCTCTGGTGTAGATAATCTGTGACACAACTTTAAGAGTCCCCCATCAGCTTCTGGCTCAGATGGTGCTTAATAATTCCTTGCACGGCAGATCACTCAGTCATGCACATAATTGTTTTATGTCAGTCCACAATTGGACTGGAATGGGCTCAGTACTAAATTCTGTCCTCCAAAGTTAGATAGTAAATGTCTATAGAATTAGCACCTCTCTCTCTGTGCATCGTTGAGCATCTGGTTTCAGATCTGGGCAAAAGCAGACTGGGCCAAATGCATTTGTTCCTTCAGGGCTATTGGTGTCCAGATTCTCCAAAGCCTCTGAAGAATCATCACTCAGCTGCTGAGAAATGTAAAATAGGAAGTACGCATAAGGCATACCTTAATAGCTTTATTTTGTGCATCAAGAGGCACCTTCAGCTCATTGCACTGAAAGGAAAAAGGTTGCCTTGGGATGGTGTCAATTCATTGACCTTAAACACACATGCCAGCTGAGCTACCATGGCTAGTTCTTAGTACCATTCCCCTCCACCAGTTCTACTCCAGCTTCTTAAACAGTTAGCCGCACAACTTATCTCTGTCCTCCTTCTCTCCACACCGTCCCCACCCCCCGGATATTTTGAATCATTTGAAGTGTCCTATTAGGGTTCTAGAGTCTCAATCAAAAGTTGGGTGAGTGGTCTGGCCTCATGCTCCTCTTTTGCACTTTGGTTCTGATCACATTCATCAGTAGCTATCCCCATTGTCCCACGCTCTCCTGCCATGGTTCCGGTGTTGTGCCAATGGCATATTTGTTTCTTCGATTCCTATGGCTTTGTATAATGTCTCTTCATGAGCCACTTGATTATAAGAGGGTGGTGGCGAGGCCTGATTCGAGGAACTTTGAGGCGCTTCCATAGTTAATCAAAACATGACATTCAAAAACAGGCCTTTTTGAATGTCATATTCTCCTTTATACAATGGTTGTGCAACACTTTCTTCGCCAACTATTCAGGGGCAATGCTGCAAAAGCTCATTTTTCTCTCTCCCAAGCTAAGAAGGACCTTCTGGTTTGGGTGGCAGCTAGATAGAAGCAGATTTTGAAAGGGAAGGAGGTAGGGTGAAGACAGTTGAGCACATTTTTATATTTATACATGTAACGAGGTTTAGCAAAAACAGAGGTATATGGCCTGTTTGCGTGTGGTGGGTATATGGATGATGGGGCATCTACACGAGCACCAAGTACCTCGGAGTTACACAGCTCTCCTCTTAAATCAGACCCTTGTCCACTCAACTGTGCCTTTTAAATTTCCCTTCTGCATTAGGCCTTCTGTCACCATAACATCTGTTTTCAATAATTTCTCACTATCATCTTGTTTTATTTAGGGTTGTAAAGGATCTAGGGTTACAGCTGCTGTAGGTGTAAAATGAAAGTCTTATATACGAACAGGAAAAATCATTTTTAGGGCCTCTTCATTGTGCTGGCACAGGCTGCATGGCCCTTTTAAAAGGGAATGCGCCCAGTTCACCTGAGATGAGTTAGTTACCTCCCAATGGGCCCTAATTGGGGGTGCCTGACCTCTATGGATATACCTAAACTGGATCTGGGAGCATGCTTCCAGCCTGGTTAGCCAGGCTTGCTCTAGCAGGGTTCAAGATAGCGTGTTTAAAAATAGCTGTGTGGATGTTCTGGCTCAAGGAGAAGTTTTAGGTGTCTCACACCCACCTGACCTCCTAGGCTTGCAAGCCCGAGCTCCAGCTGGAGCTGGAACATCCACATTGAGGGTGTTTTGTTTTTTTTAAGCACACTAGCTTGAGCCCCACTAGCTCAAGTCTACCTGAGCTGGGAGACTTCCAATTGCGGTGTAGACCTACCCCATAAAGGCAGCAGTTGGAAAAAGGGAAGCAGGAAGAAGCTGGTGAGCATTGTCTGTAGACCGCCGTGTGACACCGAAGAGAGCAGTAGTTGAGAGCGGCTGGTGAAGAGGGAGAATTGGTGCACTGTTAGGTGACGGCTGTGGGTAGGAACTGTTGGAGAGAATTGACCAGAGCTGGGGAACCCAGCGGAACAGAGGGCTGTGCAGACGCCCCTAGGTAAGGGACAGAAGTAGATCAGCCAATGCCGGCTAAGCCTAGAAACAAGAGGGTGGATTCTGGAGGGACGCTCCCATGAACGGGTAGGCTGTGCAGCCAAAGGTGCCTGGGGCATGGAAAGCTGCAGGGAGCCCTCTCACAGGAGGCCTGAGTTAAGGGCAGCAAGAAGAGAGATGTAGACATCATGAAGTATTGCCAGAGATGGAGGCCCTGGAATAGGAGCAAAGGAACTGAGACCAGAGCGGTGGTTGACTCTTGGAACTATTGTGGCCTGGGGAATGGTCCGTGGAGCTGGAGGACAGCTGCATTTTAATCTGTTGTACCTGGGGGGGGGAGGAGGTTGAGCTCTCTGAGTCTGAGGGATTTCCTGAAGGTTGAAATTATATTAATAAAGCATGCCCAGCAGCAGGGCTTGATTTGAACTCAGAGGAACAACCTTCCTTGCCCAGGCAAATCAGATGGCTGTTCATGTGATCTGTGATGGAGAAGAAAGGTTAACACAATCCTTCCTGAGCAGGTGAAGGAGAAACTGTGGCAGACTTGCTATGGTTGGCTATAGGAGGGTGCCTGGCAGGGACAAGCTCTGTTTAGAGCTGATAAGTGAAACAAACAAACAGAACCCTGTAATTGTTGCTTTGCAGGTACTGCAAGTAACTATCACTAACTACATACCCCTTCCAGTGCTTTTGTTAATGTTACTTACTATTTCTGATGCACTGTGAAAAAATTATTTGAAAGCTTGCCAAGACAATGGGAGGAAATCGTGCCTGACGACATTGGGGAGAGCAACTATGGGACAAGCGCTTACTAATGCTAAAGTATGACTCATCAAAGAATGGATACAAAACTGTTTTACTAAAAGTCATTCGCATTTAGAGAAGTTTTTGGGGTTTGCATGCGGGGCAAGTCATTTAGGCACAACTTTAAAAACAAGCCTTTTCTTTCTGTGGCTTTTTAAAGGTTCTTTCTTAGACCATCCCAACCTTTAAAAAACCCAACCTTTAAAGCCTTGTTGTCATTTTTATTTTGCTAGAGTCCGGTACTCACATGAAGGAGCTTTTCCATGCTGCCCAGGAATGGACCAACCTCATTGTTAGACCTGCTGTCCCCTGGTGGACCTGTAGTAGTTCACTAGCAGCCTACTGTTGAGGCTCCTGTGGCTGTCATTTCTGGGAGGAGCAGGACAAGGATCCTTCAGCAGCTATAGACCGAATAGGAGCCTATCTGTGAACAGCCTCAGCTGAGGGGAGGAAAGAATCAGTGGCTGATTTATTTCAGTGGGCTTCCTGTGCGTGGGGAGTATGAGAGGGTGTATGTGTGAAAGAGAGAGGTTATTGTGGGCTCCAGTATATGCAGGTTAGGGCTGGGGACTGGCGTGCACATGCCCTTCCTCTGCAGCTGTGTAAGGCTCTCTCTCTCTCCAGAGTCCCCCAGGCTGTGATATAACAACACTGCCTTCTTGGTTTGATGGTTTCCTGCATGGCTGCCTAGCTCTGTGTTTCCCCCCAGCCATCTCAGCCTGAATTGGCTGGAGGAAACTGCTTTACCAACTGTTCATGCTTGGGTCATGCTTTTCTATTTTTATTTGTGTCGCCAAGCAATAAATAAAGTTCCAACACCCCGATGCAGCAGACAGTACAAACTGGTCCACCATCAGTGATTTGGAAAGCATGCCCAGCCCTAGTTCTCCACAGCATGTGGACTAAAGTATCTGCAAAGAGGGAGGAAGAGGAATGGGGACAGTGGCCTCAGCCCTCAGACAGGCGTGAAACAGGCTGCAAAAGAGGGAACTACAGCAGCGCATGCAATAGGCAAGAAGCCCTCTGTCAGCAATGCTTGATTTAGAAATCATGCGGGGCCAGAGGTAGAGGTGGATGAGCCCTTCCTGTCATGCTGGCAACCAAAACCAGCAATAGTCTCATTAAAAAAAGCATTGCTCAGTCCATTTCCACTAAACCTCCACATCCACCCAGTTGTGCCCAATAGGGCGACCAGGTGTCCAGTTTTTGACTGGAAAGTAGGGAGATTTTTGTCTACCTCGCATTTGCCCCTATACGCCATCTTGGATTCAACAACAACCTTGGAATCCATGTTGGGTACCCTTCTTCTCCACCACTTTTGGTTTTGGCGCCTTTTTCCATCCAAAGGCGGGAAACTGGCAGTTCAACTGACAGAGTCTGCCCAGCAACTGGGACAGTATATAAGATCAGTTCACCAGTCAGGCGGGGCTGCCTATCCTGGAGGCAGAGTGTGCTGCTGTTCTAGGGAATAGTTAGTGCTGCTGTCTGCAGGATAGGTAGGCCTAGTACCACACAAGGGATGTAGGGAGGGTAACTCACCTTGCATGCGAGGATAGCTGTCATCCACTGTCCTGATTCTTCAACTCCCATCCACCCACGACGGTGCCAGGAGGAAGATCGGTAAAAGAAGGAGACAGAGTGATCATCTCACCGTCGGCGGTCCTGCTTCCCATACCTACCAGTGTCATCTGGATCTGGAGTCTAGTCAGTTGTGATAGTGCGAGCTGCTTCTCAAGCTGCAAGAGATGGCAAAGAAGCAACATCTTGTTCTTTACTAGGATTGATCTGGGTTTATCCTTGGGTCAGACCTTCAAGCCCTCTAACTTCTTACAGCCAAAGCCTGTCATATTCTGGTCCCCTTTTCTGTTACAATTGGGAGTCTCTTAATGTTTACATAGCTGTACTTACCTGTGTTACTTACCTTGTCTTACCTACTTGTTTAACTTTTCCCTGTTAATAAAACTGTTCCTTTTGCACCTTATCCCTTTGTCAGCTTTCCTTGGGGTAAAACAAACCCGTTGATAGACACAGGGTAGGGAGACGAACCTCAGACTGGTTCCCCGGCCAAAGTATACAATCCAGTCAACAGTTTGGTGACCACGGCAGGACTTCCTTTTGTTTTTGTTTGCCCTGTTTATTATCTGGCTTGGCTGTATCATACAAGGTATAAAATCCAGTCAACAGGAACACCTGGTCAAAAAGGGATCCTGGCAGCTCTGGTCAGCACCGCTGACTCAGCCATTGACTATCCAGTCGGTTGCATTGCGCAGCGGGGCTGACAAGCTCCCTGCTAGTCTCCATGCCACACAACTCCCGGGAAGCTGTGGGCATGTCCTCCTCTGGCTCCTACGCGTAGCAGCAGCCAGGGGGCTCCGCACTCTGCCCCCGCAGCAAGCACTGCCCCTGAAGCTCCCATTGACTGGGAACTGTGGCCAATGGGAGTGGTGGGGGTGGTGCCTGCAGACAGGGCAGTATGGAGAGCCGCCTGGCCACGCTTCTGCGTAGGAGCTGGAGGTAGGACATGCCCGCTGCTTCCCGGGCAGTGCTTGAGGTAAGCGCTGCCCGAAGCCTGAGCCCCTGAGCTCCCCCATGCACCCCAACCCTCTGCCCCAGCCCTGATCCCCTCCTGGCCTCCGAACCCCTCAGTCCAAGCCCAGAGCATCCTCCTGCACGCCAAACCTCTCATCCCTGGCCCCACTCCAGAGCCCACACCCCCAACTGGAGCCCTCACCCCCTCCCACACCCCAGCCCCCTGAGCCAACCCAGTGAAAATGAGCGAGTGAGTGAGGGTGGGGAGAGCGAGCGATGGGGGGGGGGCGGGGATGGAGTGAGCAGGGGCAGGGCCTCGGAGAAGGGTTGAGGAAGGGGTGGGGCAAGACTGTTTGGTTTTGTGAGAGTAGAAGGTTGGCAACCCCCAGTGCCCATCCTTGCAAAATGGGATGAGCTGCTGCTTTCTCCTCATCTCTGCTGGGTTTTTTTGCCATCTCCCACCCACTCCTTAGTATATCACCTGCTTTGCCCCCATTGTCACCCACCCACACATACCCTTTAGTGTAATATTATTCACCCTGTTCCGCTAGGTTGGTTTGTTCTTCTCTCTCCTTTCTAATGCCTCCTTTCCCTCACTCTCCCCTCCGTATTCAGCATTGCTACCGTTGGCGCCCTCTAGGGGAGACTTCACACATAAGCCCACTGGCCAGAAAACGCTGACCTAGGCGTGTTTCCATGGGAATGTTATAAAGATCCCCGAACGGGAAAGCCTGTTGTGTTTTAAAACTCCAACCCAATCCCAGCCAGATGAAAGACATTTTGTTCTAACCTTGCCTGTTATTGCTGCCAAATGTATTCCAAACACAGCTCCCTTGTCATAAATTACTGTTGTTAGCAACACTCCAGAAGGCAGAGATACATATTAAAAAATGGACAGTGCAAATGAAATAGCAGCTGTTCATATTACAGATGACTCACCGTGAGGCCCCTCTTAAAGGGATTCAGTGAAGTATTTTAGACCGCAAACATAACTGATCTTTAACACTGCATGTTCTCATAGGAGCTATAGCTGCCACAGACTGGAGGCCCTGAAGAAAGACATCTCCAAGTGCCCAGAGACAGAGGAACAAGGATTACAGCACAGTCCTTATTCCATTTGGCTATGATAGCAGGTGGTGCACATAGCCATTGAGACACTGATAGCGGCTTTGTTTATATGTGGAACCTAGAATGTGCAATGTTTGTTTCTTAATTGTTCAGGACTGGGAGGATTGATTAAATAAATTCTTCTAAGGCTATGTCCACACTTTCACTGGCATGTAGGGTATGCGTAGCTGCATACCACAGTGAAAAGCAGGCCACGTCCACACTGTGGTGCATAGCTACGCACATCTGGCAGGCCTCCTCCTGGTGGAGCCTTTTCCTGCTGCTGGAGCCTTTCCTTGCAGGGTGTGGGGAGGAATGCTCCAGCCGCAGGAAAACAGCAGGATGCTACACTGCTAAAGATAGAATAGACAGGGGAGACACTGGTTGTGGAAGTAGAGAGCCATGTAGGATACATACTCACTGTCATGTTCTTCTGTACCAGACATGGACTGGTCAGAGAGCCTGCTTATACATACCAGATGTGTTCATCATCAACTCCTTTAATGCTCTGCCAGGTATGGCTCCAGATTAGCTTAAAGTATTTTACATACAGTGCTACCTAGTGGCTGATACATATAATGCAGTTTAACATTCCATTACATGTCCCCATTTTAAGTCCTACATTCCTACCATTTACACTATCACACTGTCTTTGAAGTGCAGTATGCATCAGTCTGTTAAGTGTCTCTGAATCGTACGGGTTTTGTAATTACCTTATCTGAACACATAACAACATGGTCATCTAGCTGTTCATTAGTTGCAATGACAAGCTATGGTCAGTTTGGAATCCTTGGCTCGTCATCTCGTTCTGCATCCACCATCTGTAGAGTTGTTCTGTTGAGTGTTTCTCAACATTTTTGACACCAGGGACTGGCTTGCTGCCTTCCTAAAATATATCAGGGAGATCTCAGGGAGTGACCAGCCCACAGACTGGTTGTTGAGAAACATTGCTGTGCATTGTTCTTTCTGAGGAACAAACTGTAAATGTTGATGGTTTCTGTTGAACTCTCCACTGTTGGTCTTGATCACATACAATCTGGGCACTGAATTCTTTTTCTTTACAACAGCTGGAGTTGTCCATCCTTTTTCTCCATCCAATTTGACACAAAACATGGTCATCAGGTTCTACACCTGGTAATTCTCTGAGGGACGCCTGTTGTAAAAGTGTACATAGGTCTATTAGCCTTTTTAGCTGATTTGGCTCCTCTCTTCACATCTAGCCACTTTGGAAATAGGGTATTTTCCAAAGCTGGAACAGTTGTTCTGAGTTGTCCTCCCCTCAGGTGTTGTGCTAGACTATATCCAGTAGCTGTTATTGTTATTGATCTGTAACTCAGAAGAGCAAGGAAAGGATTTTCTTGGTTGTCTGTACAGTTCTCAATTTGTGTGTGTGTAATATGGGCTGCAAGTAATATGATCAAAACTATATTTTGTTCAAAATTACAAATTCTGCTACAGGGAATTGTGGTCTGTTGTCCATCATTAGTTATTCTGGAATACCAAAATGAGCAAGAATGCTTTTCAGTTGCTCAACAATACTGCAACATGTTATGTCTTTCAAGTACATTATTTCTATATACCTGGAAAAATAATCCACAATGACCAGGTAATGATGTCCTCTGAATTTACATAAATCTGCAGCTACTCTCTTCCAAGGTCTGTCTGGTAAAGGTGTTTGTACACTGCATGATTCAGCATTGTCTCTTAAATTGATTTGTACTATTGTTGTTCTACAAACTACTGTACTGTTTCTCAATAGGCCCATCATGGCTGCCATACTACAGCTGAGAAGGTTGTTCGTCTTTGATCCTTTGATCACGTGCACTCAATGCATAGCTTTTGTCTTTGTAAGTTGTTTCTGTGGTCAACTGGCCCATGCAGTTCTGAATACCTGCAGGGCGAGCTAGAGCTGTCAGGTGACTTCATCTCTGGGAGGGGTTGGAGGTGATTGTTAGTCCCTGCTGCGATGACTGTGATGTCAGCTCCTGAGCCAATTTTAAAGTTAATAGTCTTGCCATGAATATTCAGTTTCACTCTCCAGGCAGGCTCTGGCATCACAAGTGATAGATCCCAGAAATAATGGCTTTTGATTGTAATATGCGCAAATTTCCTGACTGCTTTGATGTGACACAGATGCAAAATGTCCATATCTCATGCATTTATTACACCATGTGCCTTTAGCTGGACATGCATCATCTCTTGGGACATGACTTTTTCCACACCTCATGCATGCTAACTGGAATTTCCCTGTAAGGGGGCAGGACTCACCACCGCAGCGCCTCTTGCTGGCCGTCCTGGGAATTAGCTCTCGTTTCACCAAAGCACCCTCATCTAGCAGTTTCTGGCCCGTCGTCAATCTCGCCTCCACCTCTAGGATCCACGTTGTTCCCTGGACTGCAGCAGCCTCTTCTGGACACAGCTGTGCCTCATTCAGTTCTCTCCCCCATTCCGGGGGAACCCGACAGATCTCAGTCCAGCCATTTGCCTTGGTGGCAAACTGCGGTCTCTGGTCTAGCCACTCCCCTCTGTGGCAAACTGCAGTCTATGCTCTGGTCACTCCCTTAGGTGGCAAGTGGCAGGGGGTGCAAAGAGGGGACCCAGGCCCACCCACTACTCTGGGTCCAAGCCCAGGGACCCTATAGCCGGCAGCCACATATGCCCCTCCTCCTACACCAGTTTCTTTGTGGAGTTTGTTTGCAATGTGAAATCTTGAGTGGCATGCTCATGAAATCCTGCAACCATTTTTCCTTTTTCTTTCTATCTGCAGCCTTTGTTGCTGTTTCACTTCTGTTCTGTTCTTAGTTTACTCCTGACACCATATCCAGATATGTTTCAGAGTAGCAGCTGTGTTGGTCTGTATCCGCAAAAAGAAAAGGAGTACTTGTGGCACCTTAGAGACTAACCAATTTATTTGAGCATAAGCTTTCGTGAGCTACAGCTCACTTCATCGGATGCATTCAGTGGAAAATACAGTGGGGAGATTTATATGCACAGAGAACATGAAACAATGGGTGTTACCATACACACTGTAATGAGAGTGATCAGGTAAGGTGAGCTATTACCAGCAGGAGAGGGGGGGGGGGGGGGGAAGCTTTTGTAGTCCCGATGTGGACTCAGAGCTTGCTTATACACACCAGATGTGTTCATCATAAGATCCTGTAATGCTCAATTTAGTTTAAAGAAGGTATTTACACATACTGCCCCTCATGACTGAATAATATAATACAGTTTAACATTCCATTACACCCACATGGTTCAAGCATGTCTTTACGCAGCCAAGCAGTACCTCACTGTCCACACAGCTATTCATACCCGTACTAAGGGGGTATGTAGTGCATGTACGCT